AAACAGTTATTTAAAATCCTTCATGACGACATCAAACATCTCAACTCCAACACTAATGCATAGAAATGCAAGTTTTATCATCTTATAGGAAATATGGTACATTACAAAATATACCTTCGTCCCATTTGCAGAATTCTCATAAGGTGAGTTTAATTTTGAGAATCTTAAAAAAATATTAAAGTTTACTGTTTTTTTTAGCGTCGTATTTTAAAGACACATACTTTGCAAGTGTTACTGAATCGCTTCCTTTAGCTTCACGTTTAAGATCCTTTAGTTCAACATTCCCATCCTTTATGACTTTTTTTGTCGTCAATCTATTTCAACAAACATTATTTGAACTACATAATCTTACTTGTTCACTTATGATATCACGTGTTTATCACGTGAAGGTGGAATATCCATAAGCAGACTTTACCTTTTGCTGAAGATTTGACATCGATTGTTCAAACGTCTTGCTATACAAGAGAGAACGAACGTGTAAAGCTTTAAAGTAAATTGCAAACATAGTTAACACACGATGATAACTATAATTAACTGTCCTGGCATTTTACTTTTCACAACCATAAAATTTTTTTCTTAAGTCTTAACAAAAATTTTTTCATGCAGTCCATGTTCACAACAATACACCTGATGGTTACATAAGATGGCGACAGCTCTGTTTGCGCGATTATAACTAATACTCTTGCTGCAACATTATCTTCTAACTCAAGTTTATGCAGCTGTTCTTGTAAGGTCATTGATGCATTGTGTGTACGGAAGACCTTGGCACTAAGGTTTTTCATTAGATCTGAGAGATGTTTGTTTAATGATGTTGTCTGAGGAAGAACACAGACTATGAGTTCAATTCATTCAATAGATATTTTAAAGATAAATTAGGGAAAGTTGAATGTAAATCGACAGCAAATAATTGAAGCAAAATTGTTTTAAATTTCTCAACTCACAGTCAGCCTATCGAACAGATCGTCTCCGTCAGTTTTCCCTTGCTGAAACAATTCTAAAGTCTTGAACACCTACGTATAAAATATAAAATAGAATTGCTGAACACTAATTAGAAATAAATTAGAAAGGCAAAATACTTGTATGAAGTAAATTATAATGGCTAAACACCATTAGAAAGTAAATTAAAATGCTGAAATCCCATGAGAAATTGTAGATTAGAATCACGGAACACATAAATATGTAAACTGAAAAGGCTACGAACAGTTTCTGATTTCTACATTTTTATCTTGACACTTCCAACTATATGCACGATCAAGGATCACAAACGCATTCTTCATTTTTCTCAAAATAAGAAATGCTTACAACATTAAACTTACATCACAACTAAATCTTACCTTTTTTTCAACAGGTACAAAGTTGTGATAATGAATAGAATCTTTACTCAGAAAATCAAACTCAACTACGTATTCTTTGTCCTTGAATTGTTTATGAAGTTCTTAAAAATAGAAAATTAAAATATCAACAAACAAAAAGATGGATGCTTTTGGTATGGTAAATAAAACATGTTTTTTTGCTAAAAATGGCTCAAGTTTTCGAAAGTTGTTTCGCCAGATTGATAAAATACTGACTGTTAGGGATGGTCATACGTTAAAATAAAAATTGCTAGTTAACGCTATCAAAGCGATGTTTACTAAAATCATCATCAACAGTTCTTCTCGGAACTTCACTAACTTTCACAAACTATAAAAGAGGTTCAAACCATTTACTATAGTTGCTCCACAGTATTTTTTCTCGTATTTGTTATAAGATAAAGTAAACATATATATTTTGTAAACAAACAACAAACAGGAAAAATAAGCGTCAGCATTTTTGTTTTAAGTACAATAAAAAAACTTACAGCATATTTTTTTCTGTGTCAAAGAAACCAATATGTATGAATAGACAAAAAGATTATTTTAACACGTTGACCCCATCACGAGAAGCTGAAATGCAAAAGGTGTGTGTGAAAGAGTGGGTTTGACTCAAATTTGATTGTTTACTTTAATAGATACTCTGATTGAAAAAGGAGAACTTATTATGTACAATAAATGAACTTACTTATGTGCTCATATCTTAGTGAACAGCAACCCACTGTGTCCACGGTATCGTCGTCCTTCTCGTGACCAGAAGGAAGAGCAAGCTAATGTAGGAATATAAAACACCTAGATGGTATAAGAATGTTCAAAAGCAGAACAAAATGTTCAAATAAAACCATTACCTTATCAATGAAATACAACGCTACACCTCTGGAATAAAGAAATAAAAATGCTGTTAACTTGTTCAAAAACAACAACGCCCGCTCCTAGTTAAATAAAATAACAAATACCCCCCCAAAGTCATATTTCAATGTGACTTCTAAGTACAAAAGATAATTCACTATTTTAATTGTGCAAATTAAATATGTTTAATGATATTTCAATCGAAATATAGCTACTTTTACAGTTAATCAAAATTTTTAATTTGCACAATAAATATTTTGGAACATCGTTTGCTTTGTATGAGTTAAAATCATCAGCTGACAATGAATATACCTTTTTCTTATACGCATTTCCTTGGATTTCCAATCATTCCTATATACTTGACGGATTTGACAAATTAAACCCTACCGAATTATTATCAATCAACAAGACATTTTTTGCATCCCAATACATAATTTGGACTCTTGTATAAATAGAATGTTTAGATTTGGGATTCTGAGTTTGGACTTCAGACAAAGATTTGCAGATTGCTAAGCAAAGTCGCATTTCAGATTATCTTAAATGGATTCATTTAACAGTTTTTCGCAAACAACAATATGGAGAGACAAATCACATAAAATAATAAAAATGATTGCACATACCTTTAATTTACGCGGGGTTTTATACTTCTGCCGATCTTTTTCTCCCTAAATTATCAAAATTCATACTTTAAAAAAAACATCATTCTGCACATCACAAATCAACTATCACATATTAATTACCTTGATCCTTGATGTTGGATTTAACATGACGTACTTGTAACTTCCCTGGATATTCTCGATCCAACATGCTAACCACGTAAACTATAATGGATGAGAAATCTCATATTGTAAATTTTTTTTTACCAAGATTCAATGTAGATCCATATACATCCATCAAAAACACTGCATGGCAATCAAAGTCTACACATATCCATTATTGTTCATGTTCAACGAACATAATTTGTAAGAAAATGTACACAGTCATCAACAACTATCACACCTTATTATCATGATGAACTGCTTTCCATCTTTGCCCGGTAGGAGGATCGGGAACTTTCGCATCTCTACGTAAAAAGAGACGTGACGGCGTTAGTTTTACAGTGTAGTAAATATTTGAATAGTTATTTTCAAAATATGAATTTTTCTGTTTACCAGTTAAGAAGACAATCTAGATTTTTCGTGGAGGAGTTGAAAAACTCGAATACTTTTGTGCGAACAAACGCGAAATAGGATCTAAATCACTAACTTGCCAATATTAATGATGATATCTTTAGCCAGGAGTCTTTTCTTCAGTTTCCCTTCTTCGGATGATCGCCTCTTCCTCGGAAAAGCCGGGAGGTTCGATCTTTAAATTCTCCACTCTTTCTCGATGATTATCCATCATACTCCTGTAAAATTTCTTCATTCTTCCCTTTGATGACTTGTTTCTCTCTTTAGTCATGTTTTCCTTTTTTCGTTTTTCTAGACACAAACACCCGGTAATCAATAGGAGTTAAATATTATCAGGGGTGGGTGGGTGTTCGTTTTACAAAACACGAACTAATGAACAGTAGCCCGTTTGACAATTTAGCTGGGGAGTGGACGCTATACTTCACAAAACACAAGTTTATCTGGGGAGATAATGTATTTAATCAGCAAGTTTTAAATTCAGAATTATATAATAAATTACAGAGCACGAAAACTTTTACAATCAAGATATTGTTGAAGTAAAAAAAACAAACAAAAACAATAAGATAAAAAGCGCTGCTTCTTTGATTGTCCAAATTAAAAGAATAATATTTTGGATGGTAGACAAATATCCGACATCTGTTGACATTCTTCCAGTCAACTTTCTTACAACTTATCAAAACTGTCAGTTCACCGCTCAAAATAATTTGGTCACAAAGTTCCTTAGTTACAACAAAAGAAAAACTATCATTACCTGAACATAATAAGCATTAATTTCTTTGAAATTACATTTACTGAGGTCTTTAATCGTCCCTCGCTCCCCATGCGTCATTTCTTTTCTCAATCTTGAAAGAAGTTGTCGTTAAAAATTTTCTTCGACGTGTATTCATGGTCCAACATCTTTGCGTAAAACCCTGCCACCTGATGAAAAGAAACTCGAAAGAGAGATACATCGAAGATGTATCCACGATGGTTTTGTAGGTTTGTGGAGGAGGAGAGTGCTCTTGGTTGGATTTCAATGGCTACTTGTTAACGTAGCATTCAAGAGTTTTTGTCCAATTATGTTACATATTATCGTAGGGATATTTTTGAAAGTGTGCTCAATTGAACACTAACCAGTAATGCTTTTGCTTAATTGTTTGGTAAATTGGTATTTTGTGCATAAGTAATTGGTAGCCGAACTGTACTTGTGAAGTACACAACTCTCTTCTGAATCCATATTTAAGATGCATTAGGAATTCAACAGCATTGCTTTAGGATATGAGAAAAGAATGGAGTCTGTTTAGTTCATTTTATTTCTACTCCTGATGCACAGGGTCCCATAAAACAGCCGAAAAAGTGCAAAGCATGACCTTTGACACATTTTTTAACTACTGAGTAACTCGACTTATAGTCGCCATTTACCATGGCAGCTACACTCTTTAAGTAATATAGCAACAATATATTCTAACCTCTTCACTTTTGGGAGAAAGTTCTATTTTCACACCTAAAGAATAACAACCGAAAACAAACGACTGCTATAAAGTTATTTTATTCATTAAGAAGTTAAATATATATCATAAATATGAACACTATGTTATAAAATTATGATCATAAGCTCTTACCGTTCTAGTAAAAGTTGACATCACCAGGAAGAGGTTCATACTCCGGTGGGAAGTATGGCCCCTTGTGTTCTAGTGTGAGCCATTTTATACCTTCCGGATGTTTTTCCTCCTCCCACCTGCAGCACAAAACACGAGTTGAGGTGAGAGAGTGAACTGTAATATTAACTGGAACGCTAATACTTGGGCTAAAGGCCATTTTGAAGCCACCTTTTATCTGCGTTTATAGGCAAATTACTTAATCTCGTGAGATAAAACTTATTATGGCCATTTGTGCCACTGTATTTTATGTATATCGTTGTTTTTTTCGAAAATAGTATCATGGAACTTCTAAAACGCAGAAAACTAGAATCATTATTGGTTTCAAAGATGGCGGAACAGTTAGCGTTCCATTTAATATTACAGTTTACTGGGTAAGTGTCGTCCGTAGGATTCTAACGCATTTGGAAACTTTGACTTACCATTTCTAAACTTCCTCAGCCTTCTTGTCTTTTTTCTCCTACAATGGAAACACGCATGAGTAACAACTCCTAACCGCAAAAAATATCCCTAAACATAGTTACACCGTTTTCACAGTTTCTGTTCCTTTCTTCGTCGTTTACAAAAGAATGGAAAAACAAAATCGCTAATCTAATACCGCTGGCTGGTAACCATCTTCGTCCTCTTCGTCATTTGAACCTTTTCGTTTTCTTTGGTTGACAGATTGCTTTTTTTGCAAACAAATCTTCGTCCTGAATACCAAAAAATCTTTAAGACTAAACGATATGGACGAGAAACATTGGAAAAAAGCTTTCGCTATACAAACCTTCAAGCCTTTTTCGACATAAATAAAAAAAAGAAAACAAAACGAATTGAAAGACGGCATAAAAACCAATGAAAACTCAAAGTGCACCTCCCCACCCCCCGGAACCTTCATGCCATTGAACTGACAACATGACTGAACGGCAAGCTTTATTTAGACATTGCTAAGCTTACATGGCAGTTATATTCAAATCAATGCTTCATTCATACACCGAAGTCACATGACATGAAAACCTGCAAACGCGTCAAATTCGCAAGTTTGTGTTTTCGGTTGGACTTTTAAACTTTGTTTCCGAATGTTTCTCGTGTGAATGTTCGACATACGAATAAAATAATAATGTGGTTTTGAACGATAAACAACAAAAATATAAAAAAATACCAGTGGCCCATTATCTTCATCTGAATCTAAATAACTTCTTTCCTTCTTCACTTTCTTTAACGTTTCCTCCTTGTTTTTATCAATTTTTTTCATTCCTTCTTTTCTCCCACGGTCATCTTTTCCTACTTCAATTTTTAGCTAATTTTAAGTTTCAACGGGCTATTCGAGGAGGTTTTCTTTGTAACATTTCCTTTTGAGGAAATATCCTTCTTGACGTTCCCGCTATTTTCATTTTTTGAGTTTGTGTTCGACTTTGCGGAGATTAATTTTTCTGCTTTCGCAGGACAAGGCGTGCTCTGTTTTTCCTTTTTATTTCAACGGACGAATTTGAAGAAGTTTTTTTAACTTCGGATGTTTTGGAACTTTTTAAGTTGTCGGATTGTGTTCAAAATTATGAATTCCGGGTTCTGTTTTTGTTTTTTCCCCGTCTAAATCAGTTTTAATCGATTTAAGTTTCAATTTCTTAACGGTTCCCGAATTTGTGTTTTCCGTCGGTTCCTCTAGGTTCAACTTCGAGTCTTCTCAGATTTCGGAGAGATGTTTGACAGGTTTTCTTATTTTCTTACTGAGCACAAACGAGCTACTAAGAAACAAGACAAAACTAATCACATTGCCGAACATCACCGAATCACAAAGCACAACATTGACTGGGACTCGGCAAAATGCATCACCTACCGTACTGACTATAGACAACGGCTTACTTTAGAAAGTTGGTATACCAACTTGGAATAAACCCCCCTGAACAGATCACAGCAATTACCGGCACCTTACAAACGACTTACTCACAATACAAACAAACGATCAACTAAAACATTACACTTCAAACTAATTCACAATGACAATACACAATTGACACCCACACATTACAACTAAAACGTCACACCTAAATCACACATCACAACTGAAAATAAAATATTTCACTTCACACTAATCCACAATGACAATACACATTTCCCGTGCACACAATACAATGACGTAAGAACCAGATAACAAATACGGCTAACCTGACGTTTATTCCTCATTTGACTCTGAAGATGACTACAGCTAAGGTTGTCGAAACGTCAGTCAACAACAACAAAAACAGTCCTTCTCAGGACTTTATTAACCTGGACGATCATCATTTACAAACATATAAGGATTAATATATAATATGTATTCCAGATGGTACGTCACCAGGATTGTGACGTCACATGCAATGGGTCGAATCTTTGTCTTTGACGCCTCACGTTTTCTTCATCGGAGTGCTTTCACTTTCGGTTACAAAGTAAAGAAGACAAGAAGCCAATGATTGGTAAATGTTGTTATGTCGTCGATATTCCTCGCTTAAGAAAAGAAAAGAAATAAGCAAAGGTTGGTTAAATTGTTCTTTATTGTCTGGATATAATATGTGCGTCATTATAAACATAGAATCTTACAGCCATACTAAAGATCATGCAACACGAAAAGATTCAGACAAACCTAATGTTTAAGGAAACTAGCAAAAGATAACTTTAGCCATAATTGTCATATAAAGTTGTCTTTGATGAGGCAATGCCAAATTTCCAAAGCCATCATCAGAGAATATATTAAAGTAAATGTGAGAATATATTCATAATATTATCAATGCCTACATACTTTTACTGACTTCATCACTGCAAATACTCGTTTTTCATTGATGCATTTGTACACATTCAGCTTCCTTTTTTAATAATATAAAAATTGCACCATACTTATCGTTAAGTTGAAGTTTTATTGTAATTCGATGGGTTATTGGACAAGGAAATCACGGACTACTGTGAAATTGGCACCATATTCATCACAACACTCATCACAACATTCAACCAAAATTTATCATTCAAAATAATAAATTGAAAAATCGTCTTTAAAACACATTTTCCATCAAATACATCAGTAAAAGACAATTCTTAACTTTTCATTTCTCTTACTTAGCATATAATTTAAAATCTACACTGTAGAATTTTTTAAAGTTTTCTATGTTACACATATTTATATTATCTATTATATATTCAAAAACTGAAGAGTGCATAAAAATAAGTTGTAGAAAATCATCGACAAAGTTGGATGACACGAATGTGCGTAATGTAATCTTATATAATTAACATCCTATATCCATGTAATTTTGCAAACCAAGGCCTATTAATAAAAAACTACACGGTAGAATTTTTTTAAACTTTTGCATATTACACATATTTATATTGTCTAAAAATATATCCAAAATCTGGAGAGTGCACAAAAAAAAAGTTTTTGAAAATTAGCGACAAATTTAGACGACACGAATTCGCGTAATAGAGGATGGCAAGAAACTGTCGTGGCTATAACCTTACGTAATAACTTCTTAATTCTTTTGGGGAGTGGGGTTAAACAAACTTGTCTAACTAACGAAGCTGGAAGGACTTTAAAACTTTTATAATAACCATGCATTTCTCCGTTTTTTAAACATCTCTAAAATCTTAAAGTAATACAAAACTTGAATTATCGAAATCATCGTTGATGTATGGTTACAGATGTGCGTAATATGTAAATAAGTAGCGGTTCCGGTTCTATTGCAAACAAAGGCTTAACTTGTAAATCAAACAATATGCGTATTTGGATGACAAAATATTGACAATTTTTATTCATTTTGAATTCATATATTAATGACTTTCCACCCCTCTCCCTCTTCTTCCCGTTGCTTTCTTCATTGTTTTGTGGGCATCTCCACTTTTTAATGGAAGCTGTCCACAAATAAAGCATCCACATTTGTAAAAGTGTTCCCACTCATATTACTTGAATAGTATTTAGAGGCTTTTGTTTTACAAAATTACACGGACATCAGTTAATTATATAAGATTATATTACGCATTCGTGTCACGTAACTTGTTTTTTAGCTATAGAGCTGTTTGTGGAATGTGGTGCCAACTTCACAGCTTAAACCAGAGTACATTATCAAGGAATTTTATTCCTTTTATATTTTTGTGCTCTCTCCAGATTTTGGATATGTGATAGACAATAAACATGGCCAAGTTTTAAAAAATTCTATCGTAGTTTTTATTTACAGGCCTTTGTTTAGCAAATGACTTGAAATTCTCAACTTAATTATATAATATTATACTACGCGCATTCGTGTCACGTAAATTGTCGATGATTTTCTACAACTTTTTTGTGCACTCTCCAGATTTTGATATATTTTAGACAATATAAATATTCACAATATGCAAAAGTTTAAAGAAATTCTACCGTGTAGTTTTAAATTATACGCTAAATAAGAGGAAAAGTACACTGTAACATAAAGCCATGTTTTCTTCATTCTTGACTTTATACATTTTTGTGATGTTTAAGGACAAAAAATACTAATAACAGTTAAGAATTTATTTTCACTGTTGTATTTGATGGAAAACGTGTTTTAAAGACGATTTTTCAATTTATCATAATGCGGACGCAGGTAGAGATCAGTTTAACGCTGTTTGTAATTTAAAACAGCATTCAGTCATTACAAATAAGGGAGTGCAATGTACACCTTAAAGTGCCCTTCCATTCCAGATGCCAGTTTTTAGCAATATGATTTTAAGTTGCTGCGAAATTTTGAATTTGGTCAACTGTTTGATTTTTAAAGCGAATTAACTTTTCAAAAACAATTTTTGTGAACCATGTAACCGTATAATGAGGAGGCTGAAACTAGCTAAATTCGACGTCATCCAAGGTACTCGTGATACAAGAGTCGTGTATTTAATTATATTCAATAACTATCAAGTCACTACTGCTGAAGCATAGCTAAAGTCTATAAGCGTCTAAAAGCCTTGCCTTTGCACTAGTATAAAAGCAGAAAATGCTAAATAGTTGCGTTGCAGCCATTTGTACAAATAAATCGCCTAGCTCTCGTATGAGTCTTCACACTATGCCTTATTATTATAAAATCCCGACTAAGCGAAGGCGAAATATCTGGGTTTAAAGTTAAAGTGCGTATTTGAGGCTTTCAATGCTTCAACAATTTGTTCAGCTCACTTAAACCAGAGGATTTGGATCGTCAGTTTAGTAGTTTGTTGAATCAAAAGAACGCTAATTTTCCAGCAGATGAGATTGGAATAGTGCCTGACCATCCATATATTGGAGTCAAAATCCGAATCATTGTTGCTTCAAGTTTTATTAGTTCCGAGTTTCTATACAGTATCCTGTTAAAAGTTTTGTCAGAATTATCTGACTGAACATTATATTTTGATCCGATCACCGCTTCTTCGTAAGGCATACTTCGGAAAGGGCACTTTAATTTAATAATGTGCTCCCTGAGGCAATAGTGACATTTGTTTGCCGAGAGAAATATTGATGAGATTTATAGGAAAAATTTGCATTAGACTCAGCTAATATTAGACTCAAAATTCAGCTAATAATAGAAAATTTCGCACAATCTGAATGAAGGTCTGGTTCACTGTTCTGAAACTT